TCAACTCACCCACACATACTTCATTTATTTATTTAGGATGTATTGACTTGTGCATATAGAACTGGGGTGCAGAGCAGAGGTGCAGGGGCCTGGAGAGGATTCACCAGACACAGAGGGCCACAGGCGGAGAAGGGGCTGGAAGGCAGCACAAGGCTGCATCTGGGACCTCCCCTGCGGCGCCATCTGCAGAGGGGTCTCTGCCGACAGCTCCCTGCACGCAAAGGGACCATCCAGCCATGCTTCTTCTGATGCTTTTCTGCAAAACGCAGGGAAGGGGCCGCTGACACCTGAGCAGTTCGCCACCTACTCCCAGCTCACGGGCGCCAAGGGTGTCCCGGTGTCGAGCATGCAGTCTATCCCCGACCAAGGTAAAGCCACCCCGCTTTGACGGTCCGGGCGGCATGCGTGGGAAACGGGGTCACCGCAGTGATGGCTTAAATGTTACGTGCCCGTCCCAGCGTTCGAGCAGGGCGGTGGGGCTCTGACGGTCTCTCCCTGCTCTCTCTCACAGACACCTGCCCGCCGTGACAGCGTCCCCGGGGTGAGTGGACACCCGTGTCCCAGGCTGGGTTCTTGCGCCCGCAGACGAGGTTCTGCCTGGGACGGCTGGGTGACGGGCGGGACGAGAAAAGACTGGACGCTGAGGGCTCCCGAAACAGTGTCTCGTGGAGGAGAGTGGCTTCGAGCCTCCGAAAAGCCTCCGGAGCACAGCGCGGGCTTTGCAGGTGGGGCCCCGGGGACGAGACCCTGCGAGGCGCCGGGCCCTGGCGGACGAGAAGCCCCGTCTGCGCCCTGCTGCAGGGCAAACCCTTGTCATCGCGACTTACACGGGCAGCGTGCACGCCCAGTGGACAGTGTACTTGGCTCCGTCCTGGAGCCTGGACGCCTGTGCCCGCAGCCACCGCGGTGTCACCCTGTTCACGTGCACGCGGGGTGTCCAGTCCCACGGTTGCTCGTGGGTGACCCTGACCACCCAGGGGTGCAGCCGGGCCGTGAGCTCCCGCGAGAATTCTGCCCGGCGCCCCCAGCCGGTGATGTCCTTTCCTGTCGCTCTCCCCGATCCTGGGCCACCGACCTCAACTCACTCATGTTTTTCTCTCTTGTCCCAGCTGCAAGACGGTGCAGGCACCGGACGGCCACCAGCAGCCTGTCCGGGCGCCGGGATCACCCGTGTGAAGACCAGACGTCCTTGTCCTCCCAATCACAGTCTCTGCTCTCCCTGCAGCTGGGCCCGGAGGGTGGTTTCCCTTCTCCCCCTGTTTGAGGTCTGTGGGTCCCTCAGTGGTTCAATAAAGCGATTCACCTGCACACAGCACCCTGAGTAAATGCATCGTGGGGTCACGCGCAGACTTACCAACATGGGTGCCGTCACCCCGGGACTGGCCTGTCCGTGAGACCGGACACGGTGCTCTGGGACTGCCTTGGTGAGAGGGAAGCTCGTGAGCTCAGGGGTCCCTGGGAGACCCCGCGTGTGGGGTGGGACCAGATGCCAGGCGAGTCCGGTGAGCTCTGCCCTGGCCCGTCCAGCGGACACCCCCAGCGCTCTGTGGTCCAGCGTGTGAGCGGGCGACGGAAACGGGGGGTGACGGTCCCGTGATCGAGCCAGCGGCCGCAGCTCGGGGCCCGGCCTCCTAAGACAGTCCCCCCCACACCAGTTCCAGAAAGGGGGACGCAGTTTTCCTTAGCTGCCAAGAGATGTCCAGCTGCCTCCCCGCCCCATCAATGCCAATAGCGAGGGGTGGGAAGAAATACCTGATCCGTGTGGCCACCAAAGGCACGCGCTTATCCTTTTTGACAGCTGCGTAATATTCCACCTCTTTTTTAATCCGGTCATGTGCTTTTGGGCATCTGGGCTGCTTCCATGTTTTTCCAATTGTAAATAAAGCAGCAATAAACATGGGGGCGCAGGTGTCTTATTGAATCCGTGTCTTTGTGTCTCCCGGGTAGATGACCAGGGTGACAGATTGTAATAAAACATGGTGCAGTGGCTTCTCACCGGTCCCCAACCTCAGCCCAGCGGTGACTTCTTGTTTTCATGGCAGCCTCACTGGATTTTCCTCCGCAGACAAGTTTGTACCGCTGATGCACACAGGGCCCTCGAGGCAAGATGGCCGCTCACGGCTGCTCGTTACAGCGCTATCGGGTGGACGTCTCGGTCCCTCCACGCTGGTCCGAAAACAAAGAAATCTGCATGGGCCAGAGGAAGG